TATAAACCAAAATTAGTTTTTTCTCTCATTCATGTCTCCTCTTCCTCTCCCTTACCTCTCTTCTTCCATGACAAACAACTTGAATAAGAGGGGGTGGAATGGCTTCGTGTGTTAGGTTTAGGATTATATATATATATATATGGACATGTACCATGGTGCTCAAACATTATAGTGCAGCAACGCTGCATGGTGGTTCATGGCGTTGCCACTTTTGAATATTGGTGATGCCGCACTGAATTATTTTCATCCCTAGATTAGGGTGTCAATGCGTAAAAATACTCAATGTTGTAATGCTCCATTTAAAAAATTTTAGAATTTTTGAAATTTTCATTTCAAAAATAATTTTCATAATTTTCACATTATTATATTCTACCCACCTTGGAAAAACAATTCTCAACAAAAATTTTCATAATAAAAACAAATTCACAAAAATAAACTTGATTCATAAATTTGCCAAAATAATCTAGCCATTTCAAAACAAAGCAACATGATTCAAAATAAATAAAATTAATTTAAATTAATTCGCTAAAACTTAAAATAACATTAATCATTGACTTATCATTCATAGTATTCAATCAATCATAAGTTAAATCACACAATTATACATGTTAATCCAATAATATATTATTTAACATGCAATGTAAGTTTAATCACTTAAAATTTAGTACATATGATCAAATGTTTTATTAGTGGATAATGTAGGTGTTGCTTTATCACTTTACTTAATCAAACTATAAACTCTTGGTCATACTTCCATTTAAAAAATTTTAGAATTTTCAAAATTTTCATTTTAAAAAAACATTTCATAATTATCACATTATTATAATCTACCCACCTTGGAAAAAATTTCTCCATAAAAAGTTTCAGAATAAAAACAAATAAAACAAATCGACGAAAATAAACTCGATTCATAAATTTGCCAAAATAATCTAGTCATTTCAAAACAAAGAAACATGATTCAAAATAAATAAAATTAATTTAAATTAATTCACTAAAACCTAAAATAACATTAATCATTGACTTATCATTCATAGTATTCAATCAATCATAAGTTAAATCACACACTTATGCATGTTAATCCAATCATATATTATTTAACATGCAATGTAAATTTAATCACTTAAAATTTAGTACATATGATCAAATATTTTATTAGTGGATCATGTAGGTGTAGCTTTATCACTTTACTTAATCAAACTATAAACTCTTGGTCATACTATTATTAGTGATGACATAACAGATTGAGTAGGTTCTCGTTGACCTTTAATAAACTCCTCACAGACCCTTCATTTTATCCTCTAGATCCAGTAATCATATACACTACAGGAAAATGACCCAAAATCGGCGATTTTTACCGCAGTTTACGCATATTTACCGGCGGTTTTTACCTTTACCGGTGGGAAATGGACCGCCGGAATATTCGGCGTAGGAAATTTGAGTCAACTCCCTG